TAAGTGACGCGTGTGTGTGTGTGTGTGTGTGTGTGTGTGTGTGTGTGTGTGTGTGTGTGTGTGTGTGTGTGTTCCCATCAGCTCAGGGGCCATGCAGAAGTAATAGCAGAGGGATGAAAACCCAAGACCCATTGGACAGGAAGGTTTGCAGTGAAACATTATTTTCTAGACAAAACAGAACTACTGTTTTTGTGAACTCACAACAGTTGTGATTGTCTGCACAAAACTTTCACAGAATAAAGGAATCTAGCATTCTAGTATGGACATGGAATAGAATTCAGGAGCTTATCCCTCTAAATGAGGTGGTTTTTGACAGTTGATGGCTTCTGGGAAACAGGGAGTCAAGTTTCTTTATTTTGTAGACATTTTGTCTCATATTGTTTTTTTCCCAATAGATTATTTTTTATTAGTTCAAATTAGAAACAAGGCTGCTTCACTTCACGTGTCAATTCTTATCTCTCCCCAAACCCCCACCAGCTCCCTGCTTCACCCCCCTCTACTCCCCAGGGAGGGTAAGGCTCTCCATGAGGGTTTTCCAAAGTCTGTCATATCATCCTGGGCCGGGCCTAGGCCCTCACCCGTGTGTCCGGCCTAGAGAGCATCCCTCCATGTGGGATGGGCTCCCAAAGTCCCTTCTTACACCAGAGAAAAATACTGATTCACTACTAGGGTGAATTCACTACTAGAGTGCAGAGTCCTCCCCATTGACATCCACGTTCAGGGGTCTGGATCAGTCCCATGCTGGCCTCCCAGACATCATTCTGGGGTCCATGTGCTCGCCCTTGTTCAGGTCAGCTGTTTCTGTGGGTTTCACCAGCCTGCTCCCGACCACTTTGCTCTTCATTTCTCCCTCTCTGCAACTGGGTTCCAGAGTTCAGTCCAGTGTTTAGCTGTGGGTGTCTGCCTCTCCTTCCATCAGCCACTGGATGAGGGCTCTAGGATGGCATATAAGGCAGTCATCAGTCTCATTATAAATGAAGGACATTTAGGGTAGCCTCTCCACCATTGTCTGGGTTGTCAGTTCGTGTCATTTTGGTGTCATCCTTGTAGATCTCAGTTGTCTCATACATTGACCAAGCTCTAGAAGGCTGTCCCACACCTTTGTGTTAATCAGTGGAATGATATGGATAAAAGTTGAGAATTTTGTTCTCTTACCCCTCTGATGGTCCTGGACCCTCTCACTATCCTATCTTGAAATTGAAGACAGTTTATGATTCAACAATATGCTACAGAAGATTACGCCCAAAGAGAAACTGTACATTTGTCTATCTAGATAGAAGAATAAAAAGTATGATAAACTACTGATGTTCTGTATGTTGTTGGGTTAGTTTTGTTTCCAGTC